CAAATACAAGTATTTGAAATACGTATTTAAAATACTTTGTGTATTTTGCATTTGTATTTAATTACAGATTGGGTAATGTGTTTGACGTATATATTTAAATACTAAAACGTGGGTATTTAAAATACAATTGTAATTAAATACAATTTTGTGGGCGAAAATACATACCTCAAATTTATTGTCACTGTCCAGAGCAGGAAGGAAACTACGTTCTGCACCGAACGCAGTGTCTCTCAATCAAGCACAAGCGTTTAGTGACTTTGTGATTACGAAGCTATACTCCGTTTCACCTTCAGTCCGAGCGCAGCGGACGCTAGGAGTAATCCCAGCCAATCCAGCGTGGGGAGAGTGTCATGTGACCTTGAGCTCCCTGTGTCCCTCTGCCCAACCGGCAGGTCACGCGATTTTCTCCCGGCGCTGGATCGGCTGGGATAGCTCGTGGCGTCCACTGCGCTCAGACTGAAGGTGGAACGCAGTGTAGCACAGGGCAAGAATAGTGACGAAATCGACGTTCACAGGCAGACTGGCTAAATAAGTGCCTGTGACAACTTGTGATGCTTTCCAGCCTGATTTCCATCCATATTCTTTCCTGGAACATTCTAAATGCGCGGGTCGTCCAGATTTTCGTAACTAGTGCGAGTTGTTCTATACCAAAGTGTAATCGACAAAAAAAGCTGCTTGAAGCTCTGTACTTTTTTCACCTATTACGTCCAAGCTGATTACATTTTTTTTGTGATTATATTTCTATTACGTTACTAGAGCCTCGCACATTAACTCCCGAGTGTGCGATGCAAAATTAAAATGAGATACACAGAAGCCCGTTGCAGGTACCCTGAAGTCGCTGACGCAAATTTTTAGGAATGTATTTGGAAAAGTATTTGGAGGAGACCAAATACATTTGGTTGTATTTATATCTTGTACTTAAATGCTTTTTTGGAAATGTAATTAGATTTGTAATTAAATACATTTTTGACGAAGTATCTTGTATTTGTATTTCGACACATATTTGCATGTATTTTGCCCATCTCTGCTCCTACCCTAGTCAGACCAACGCATCTCCCGGCGTTCGGAGAAATGTCGCTAGAGGACGGCACCGTCGTGCATATATAAGTACCCCTAACAAGTGGCCTCCGAAAAACGTGGCGTTTCGTCGCCTTTTCGTGCTGTGAAGCGAGGGTAATGCATTACGGGAGCAACGATCACTAGGGAGTTGTGGTAGATCATTTTTCTCTTCTGCTATGGTATCCGTGAAGAAAACGCCCCTGTTGTGCATGCGCGCCGCCAGCCTTGTCTCATAGTTCAAGGTCTTGTGGCGGATTACGAAGCGCTATCCGGGTGCTTAGAGAGATGCGGGAACGGTCTACTAAAACTCCTCACTGTCTCCTCGGTTTCGGATGCGCCTGTGTTCTTGTAAGGTGACGGCGGTGACGGGTCGGCCGGTCGGCAGGGTCGGTCCGCTAGTTTTGTTTTGTGTGAAAGGAGTAGCGTTGGAGCGTGTGGTCGCAGACCAAGTGTGAATAACGCCGGGGAGATGCTACTCTGCGAAGTAGTGCGGCAATTCGAATAAGACGCCAGATGTTTCTCTGTTGCTGTTTCCAACAGACCACAGGTATGTTTTCGGTTCGGAAGTTCTTTAGCTCACTACGGCCAAGTCTGGTGAACGAGAGTTCTTAGTATACGTTATTAATATTTATCTAATGTACGAGAGGAGGCAATCGTTGGCTAATTGGTCAAAAGGTCACAAGAGAACAAAACACTGCTATCTCTGTTCAGCTCAGCGTAACAGCCGACACCATGAAATATGCAAGATAAAAACTAGACCTTTGATTAATGTGACATTTGGCGCCTCGCTCATTTTTTGGTTCTGAGTATCCACTATTCTCTAATATTGTTCATTGTTTACGTCACCAATTGTGTACGGCGACAAAAAATAAAGGACCGTGACAGCCTAACTTTGCGGAATGCTGCGTTTTCACCAACATTCCCAGGAAGGAGGCACGTTCGAAAGCACACGCCTCTACCACGGCCCTTACCAGAACTTCACGCTTCTTGTAACCTGACATATAAGGTTTGAGCACTATAAATTAGAAGAAATACGTTTAAATGAGGTTTATCGAAAGGATACGGTCGCAACAGCAGACCTGGTTTGAAAAAATGGTGTAGGTCAAACAGCTGCGTTAGTTAAGGTAGTATAAAATGAGATTACCCCAACAACAAAATGAGCGTGGCAACCGAACCTTGTGTGTACTGTCAGGAAGCTAACCGAAAATGAGTCGATGACGGAGAATGGGTGAACGTGCGTTCGCACACCTCGAGAGCGGATCAAATGCCAATCAAATTAGGCATTCGATTTTGATTCGACAGCATGATTTTTGTCTGCATGTTGGCATATGACGACATTGCTACACGCTGAAGATGTTAAATGTAGCTAGTGTAGTTTGATTGCTAGCCTGCGGTCTTTACGTGCATCACACATCAATCTCGAGACAGGCGCCGGTGGGTATTGATGACAGGATCCCCTGGGTATATTCAAGCTTCAGCTTCCGCTTTACGTGTTCCGAACTGCGTTACGCAAACACTTCACCGCCGATCTCTAAGAGCGGATGAGAGCTATTCCCGGTGAGAAGCTCGCGAGGGGCACCTCTATTTTCCTGAGTATGGGTAGTTCGCATGCTACCCAAGCGGCTATGTTTTAATTTTTGTAGTTTATAGAAGCTTGGAATTGCTCGTAATTGCACCAGTAACGGAAGTTAAAGTATCCTTACTCTGGGTTATGAAAAATATTTCGCCAGGCGGCGATATCCACATTTCTCGCAGCGAATACTCCGTTCACCCTTAAAGGGATACGGAAACAAAAATTGAAATATTCAGATTTTGTTCGTAAGTGAGTCAAGCATGACGGATAATAACCGTAAATGATAATCGCATGTTTGTATATTGAACGACTGGCTATATTTTTTGTTCCAAACGGTGCACTCGAGCAAGCGCTCGAAGAGAAGCGAACGGAGAGCGCCATGCGTCATGGGATAGCCGGCGCAAACAAAAACAGAAAGAAAAGATTTCCCGCGTTCGTGACGTAGCAAGGCTGGCGTGATTATGAGCTTTGCCCTTGGTGGCGTTGTCAGCTATCAGCGTTGCGGTGGTGTAGCGTCAGCGCGTTACAACCGAGCCGTTCGAAGTACCCGTGGGGTGACGAGCGTGTGGCTGGCCCAAGGAGCACGTAGCTTCCACAACACTGTCAGCTTAGGGCTAAACGGGGTGGGGAACGCAACTTTTGTGCGAGTTTTGAGCGACGGGCTAATCTTCTAGAGGGAGAATGGCTGTGTCGGGTTGCACGAACGAGGGTGCGAGAAAGAGGGGAGTCCTTCCGTTCCGTCTTCTTGGACCGCTTGGTACAATGCGCGACTTGTGAGTTTAGGAGGAAAGCTAAGAAGGAAAACGTTGAAATGCCAAAGAGCGGCGCTGCTCCGATGGATTCTGCTACGTCACGACTACGTAGCAGATTCCACAACATTGCTAGACTACCTCCCAAATAGGCTCCGCATGCATCCACCAAGTGCACATTGAAGATCGTTTATTTAGCTTTAAAATTAGTTTTCTTGTGCTTTTCAACAAAAGACGTGTTTTTGAGGTTAGGGTGCAACATGCAGCACATTAAAGCTATAAAATGATCGCTGAAATTTCGTTTCCCTACCCCTTTAAAGGAGGGATGCAACGATTTTTGTTCTGTGCACGAATACCGCTTGAAACGAATCCCTGGCATTAATGACCTATGAAACACGCGTTTGTCTTTTACCACACGCAACAGAAGCCGCAAAAACAATTAAAGAAAAAAAAATAGCAGCGTTTACTGCCTCAACTCGCAGAGGTTTGATCATAGCCACGCGCTGGGGTTGGCAAAGCACAGGGCACGTGCGTAGTTCCAGACATCGTTAGGGTTCGACTTCTGTCGTCATTGCAGCTATTGGACACGGGCCATTGCTCGAATGCTTCCCGAACTATTGATTATCACAAGCCCAAATCGAGTGCCCGCGCAATGCTCAGGTCCAGTCTTGGAGCCACATTCAAATATCGACACTGCAGTGCGACCCCCAAGCTACGTTATCAAGTTTTGCGAATAAAAAACTAAAAGAAAACGGCCGCTTTTGTCCTTGAAATTACACCGCAACAAAGGATTTCCTTGGCCACTGGAGTTGCGTGCGAGTATTCGCGGCGAAAAGTTTGGGTGACCCTGCCTGGTGGAATTTTTCCACAACCAAGAGTGAGGATACTTCCCTCTGCTGGTGCAAGTACGTGCAATGCCAAGCTTCTGTGAACTTTGAAAATGAAAACCTAACCGCGTGGGTAGCACGTGCACTACCTATAGTGAGGAAAACAAAAGCGCTCCTAGTGAGCTTCCCACCACGAATACATGGATCCCATTAATGCCACTTAGCTCGGGTAAAGTGAAAAAAAATTCCAAGGAAATATCGTTGCACGGCACTTTTAAGCTGAGACTAGAAACTCCGCCTTTGGTGCGAGCTCACTGGCTTCCGCAGTGCTTTGGTTGCACGTGCCTGCGCGTTCACACTTGTGTTAGCAAGGGCAGAAAGCTCGCGCTGAATGTGGAGCTTCAATCCCAGCTCAAGGGCGAACGGAGTATATGCATGCGCACTCTTCTGATAAAATGTCACAGAAAGTTGTCATTGAGTCCAAGCATAGACAAAGAAAACTTTGGGCGAGCCTTTTCGATCCATGATCACCTCCCGCAGCACTGCCAAAGATGACTTATCCTGTGGTGTATGGCACGTACTTAGACACCGTGAGATATTGTTGCTCTAGTTTTTGTTATTACAAACTCGGCTGACGTAAATGCCTGAAACAGCAATGCCGCACCTTTTGGGCACTTTGAGGCGTATTGTAGGTGCGGGCGTCATCTAAAGTTTAAAGAGCGCGTTGCTCAGTTGCATTAGCAGTAAGCGAGGGCATCTAGGCAAAACAAGGTTCGAGGGATCCGGGCCCACCTCTTCCATCCTCTTGTCCCACTCCCGGCGGACCTTGAGGGCTTCCCGCTCGGTCTGTCCGAGGTTCCCCTCGAGCCGACGGAGCTTCTCGGTGAGCTCGACCAGCTGCTCCTCGACTATCTCTCTCCCCTCCGGGAGCTCCGGGATGGCCTTGGGCTGGGACTTCTTGCTCGGCTTGCGCAGCTGCTTCTGCAGCGTCTCCACCTGGCCAGAAAGAACGGCGAACACCTAGAAGTTAGAACACGTTCCTAGGTCAATAAATCTGTGTGCAATCTTATGTACCGAGGAACATGCCGTGCGCTTTAGCAGCGCGTCCTATAGACCTTTGCAAGAAGAGTTGTCTGGCCGCCGCCATTTTGGAAATCGAGCGACCCCTATCAGCCAGAAATATCTGCCACCCGCCTGAGCTGTGGAAATCCAGTCCGCTCGACTCCACACCTGTATTGTGCATCTGAAGTTCGCCGGCTTTTCTTGAAAGTTTTTACTTTAGTTGCCTGTTCAGGATGCTTACCCTGTGTGTGTTATCTTCCACTGTGAGAACCAGGAAATACCAGGGCTCGTAGCCTGCTCGGCCTTCGCCGGAAACGAAGGAAGAGAGCGAATGTCAAGCAGCCCGCGACGCGGGCAGTTCGACTTACTTCGAGGATTATCTCTGTTGAGAAAATCTCCGAAAAGCCTTCCCGGCTATGTTCCGGGTCTTCGCGAAAAATAGCTGATAGGGTTTAGTCCAAGGTGTGGGGACGGAATATACACGTTCGTTCATTTGCTTCGATTTTATGCAAAAAACAAACAAACAAAAAACAGCTTACTTCAACACGTGCCCCAAAACCTTCCGGATTCCGTCCGGTCGTCGTGAATCGACTATCGTCGACACTGATATTGTACATACTGTTTTATTTGAAACCTTTCTAAAATCCTGTACGGATAATGCGGCACCGTTGGGTAAGTACAATATATGATGTCCGATTGATGAGACTCCTTGAATTTCATGTGAGTGGGGAATACCCATCCAGTTTGTCTATCCTGTGTGGTGAAATATCTTCGAGAATTAAGACCTTTGTAGATTGACACGGCTAATTGTATGGTGCCGAAAAATATCAACATAAAATCAAACAGACATTCCAGTTGCATTGGTTCTGGCGCGGATGGACTTACCGAAACAGCTGCCATTTTTTAGTTTTTGTTCCCCAAAAATAGTCAATACGTACTTAAAAACCTTGAGAAATTCTATTCGCCATAGAGCAAAAAAAAAAAAAAAAATAGAACGCAGCAATTTAGCCTCCACGTAGATTGTCACAGCCCACTGACAAGAAAACCCACCGCCCAGCGCCATCGGGCAACACTGACATACCCTCTCAAAACCAGAGGCGCGCGCTGTTAATCGCTTCGTTCAAGACTGAAAGAAGGCGAGAGAGAAGAGGGGAAAGGGCTACCGGCCCTTTCCCTTTTGCTGGTGCGTTAGAAAGAGGGAAAATCCCGGAGAAGAGGCTTCGCCGGTGTTGTGTACGCATTGCCCAAACTTCGCGCTTTCTTCTCTCTTTTAAACTCTCAAACTTAATTAGAGCCACGGGTTGGGTAGTGACAGTCCCCCGGCCATCGCGACGCCATTGCTCGGTTATAGGGTCCACGAATAACGACACAAAGCATCGAATTCTGTCTGGGGACCTTTGTAGCTTGCACGGAATCCGGCAAGGCGCGTGTGGCTGCAATGTCTTTAAGCTCTATCGCTCTCCAGATCACCTCGATCTCCTGCGGCAGAGGGTTGCATCCGTTAAACCGAAAAGTCTTTTCCCCAACGCTATCCTCTTGACTGTGCATGGAACATTTTCTGAATGGAGCGCACACCGAACGCTGCACCGTCGATGAACATGGGGTACGCTCGCAAGGTGCGTGCACGTTTTCTCGTGATGCTTGGTTTTCATTTTGTAACTTTATGTAACTGAATTTATCTTAATATTGATATCTTGAAGTGCTGAAACTGAGTCGATTTTATTATATATAACACTTAGTGGAAGGCTCCTTCCCTCCGTGAGGTGTGGCTGGAAATTGTTAAAAAGTTAGTTCTATCGGTTTTCCTTAATCGAGACCTCCTGCGCCATACCAGAGAGCCGTGAACCTATTTTGACCGTCACAACGCGACTAGATTCTTCTTATTTTTGAAATTAGTACAAAATTTAGCTCCAAATAAACCTACAGTTTTTGTTTCTAAAAGTTGAAACATGCTCACGCATCGATTTGGAATCGATAAACCCAGGCACGTAGCCAGGGTTTTGATGGGGGGGGGGGGGGGGGGGGGGGGGGGTGCCCATGACAAAATGCTGAATGAGGGGGGGGGGGGGGCGGAGGGAAGGCCCCAGCATGATGGAAGATTTCGGCGGGCCTTATAGGCCACCCCCCTGGATACGTGCCTGGACGAATCATCGATCGACTCGCTCCGGCAATAGGCCCATCTCGACTTTGCTGTTTTAGTTCTTGACAAAAGACACACTCGTCGAAACGGGATCCTCAAATAAAACATTTATAAACACCTTCAAGCCAGAGTGAGCTGCCTTCGATCGTACCCTTCAATGTTTATAAACGTTTTATTTGAGGATCCCGTGTCGACGAATGTGTCTTTTGTCGAGAACTAAGAACAGCAAAGTCGAGATGGACCTATTGCCGGAGCGAGTCGATCAATGATTCAGCGATTCGAAATCGATGCATGCACATATTTCAACTCTTAGCAACAGAAATTGAAGATGGCTTATGCACCCGCACTCGCAGGATTCTGTGCAAGCTACAAAGTTCCTCGGACAGTATTCGAGGCTTTCTGTCGTTATTCGTGCACCCTATAACCGAGCAATGGTGTTCGCGATGACCCGGGGATTGTCGCCATCCAAGCTTGTGGCTCTAATTAAGTTTGGGAGTTTAAAACAGACAACAGAGCGCAAACGAAGTTCGGGCAATGCATACACCCAACACCGGCGAAGCCTCTCATCCGGGACTTTCACTCTTCGGGGAAAGCGCGGTAGCCCTTTCTCCTCTTCTCTCTCGCTCTCAAAATGGCGCTGCCGACGATAAAACGGTCTATAGTTACATAATACCCGCCATGTCCGAGCAGTGGCAAGGAGAAGGGAGACGGCATATAGTACATGTAGCTTCTGTGTGGTGGAGCCACCTGGGTGTTCAGCAAACCTGTTGTGTCGGGAAGCCAACCACCTCCTCCGCTTGTGACTCTATGAGGCTGCCTCAACAGCACCGAGAGCCAGGAATTTAGGACGTCGTAGACCGACAGTCAAGCGCTCAAGACCAGCTCGCGGCTTTTCAGCAGAAAAATGTTGCGTATGTTTACTATCGTTCATCCGCAAACGAGACGGCGCACTATTTCTGTGTGCGCCATTCACTGTAACCGCCAAAACCCCAAACTGACACCGAAGCAGACTACCATGCGTTCGCCACGTTCCCCTACCTCGTTCGCGCTACTCAAGCGCCGCCTAGCCATATTTTCGTTAGTTTCTGTACTTTCGGTATTTTGTCTAAATGAAACTATTTTTGAACCAAGGTGGTCGCTTCCAGAAACGTCTTTCACATATTGTAAAAACACGCATGCTGTCTTAAATAATGATGTAATTACTACCCACTAAAAAAGAACAAAAAAAAAAAAAAAAACGGCCGCGTGGCTTTGCTACCTATCCGTTCGCGCATGTTATAAGGTGGAGTAGCGGGACTGGACATCCCGTGGAGGGAACCCCAGTTCCGCTACACCCTCTGATGGCGTGTTTACACCCTCCGATAGCGTGTTTAAGTTAAAAAAAAGATGGCACTTGTCTCAGATTATTGTTGCTCAAGCCCACACCCTTCTAGACCCCAAGGGGACAGCAAAGTACAGTTCTCACCAAACTTATACGGAACACTCGAAATCTGTCTTTTCTCGTGGGATCCCTTTGCATGCAGCAGCCGAGCAACGGTTTCGTAGTGTAGCAGTCCACAAACCGTCCCGAAGGGCTACATCAAGGAACCGTTGCTTAGCTGCCTCCAGGAAAACGCTTCCACGGGAAAACACTCAATTCGCGTGTTCCATGTAAGTTTCGTGAGCACTGTACACTTTTTTTTTGACATTTGATGCTAAATTATTGTAAGTTGCAACAACAGGAAAGAATAAACACACAACAAACGAGGCGCAGGCGAGGTACTGAGTACTGTGTCCAAGGCATACCACCTAGAAGACAATGCCTGCGCATGGCGTCGTCGTTGATACCGCCACAAGCGGCAAACACGGTAAAGCTTGACGGGAGACGCGGGAAAGCAGCAAACGCGTCCGTGTTGTCGTCGCCGCCTTTTACCATTGTGCTCGTTTTGAGAGGCTGCAAGGTGTCCCAGCGGCGATGCTGACGAAATGTAGGTAGCGCTGTGTGTATCCACAAGTGATGACGTTTAGAGGAAAAAGGCCTTTGCCTGTGGTCCAATACCGGCTCCACAGTGTCACAAACCAAGATAACATGCCTAAAAAATAAATAGTACTGTTGGTGGCGCGTCTTGGAGGCCTTGCTGATGCTATCAAGTACGACTCGTTAGCAAACTTCTTGACATATGACCGTCGCCAGGCGGTGACAAGATAGCGTATTTGTCAACCACACGTTACTGATCACCGGAGCCGTCAAACGACATGCTTCAATATCAGCGAGCGGGGTGGGTTGCTGGTGTCGTGACCATTCGTGCTCCCCTAAAAACCACTGCGTTCCGCGTTATGCAATGTAGTTCTATCAGCACAAGGGGCACTTTCCAAACTGCAACTGAGCCGGCGCGGCCTCTGTGCCACACAAAACAACATGATGGGTGGATCTTGAACTTGCCCCGTTGCCAGCCAGTTTCACTATACAGGGTACGAAACTTCACACAGACGTGTTGAAATGTTTGAAGTGGCTGATTCCGGTGTATTAGGTCAATTGCTTCGTCCGGTAGCAGACTTTCTCGCCAAAATTTAGCAGACCTTAGATCTTTTTAAAATGACATACGAATCCTCTACACATATTTCTGTCACTTCAGGCGTGCACTAGAGATCGGTGCTTGGTACCCTTTTGTTTTTTATTTTGCGAATAATATTTCAAAATGTAACCAGGTACCAATGGAACACTTCGCAAGTGATTGCGTAATTTATTCGTAAATATTATTCTAGCACGATAAATAAAGACCGAAAATGCCAATTACAACCCAAGATTGATATT